GGCGTGCCCCGTCGAGCTCCGGGTACTTGTCGCGGCGCTTGCGCCTGGCAGCGGCCTCAACTGAATGGCCCGGTGGGACATCAGCCTGTGGCTGGGCCTCGCCCCGACGCGTAACTGGCGAGACCATGGTGGCATCGAGCGCGAGCTGGGAGCCATGCCACAAACGGAGGCCGTTGGCGACGACCTCGATGCGCCGCTCGTCGCCAACGGGCGCGTCGAGGTTCATGTCGGCCAGGCGCACATTCCGTGCGACCCGCGCGCCAGCTTCGCGGCACACTCGGGCGACTGCATGCTCGAGTGGGAGGGCTCGTGTTGCCAGCACGCCAGAAGTGGCGCACGCAGACCGATGGTCGCCGAGCGGGTCGAGCAGCCCGCGGCAGCGGCAGTGACGCGGCGCCAGCGGCAGGGGCAGGCGCAGGCGGCGAAGGAGCAACACCCGGAAAAGGGCGCGGAAAAGGGCGCTCGGGATGGCGAGGTCGTACCGCGTCGGCAATACCGTGATTGCACGGGCAGCAAAGGGCCCAGCTTGCGACAGCACCAGTGCGCGGGATGCAGAGGAAAGATTAGCAAGATGCACCTCGCACATGCGCTCATCGCTTGCTCGGACGGCAACCCGCTGCCAACCCCGGAGTGGGTCGGCGGGCTCCTCACCATGTCCTCGAGCAGGGGGCCCGTCAGCCCCTCCACTGACTGCGGCCCAGGTCGGTGCGTCGTAGCCGTCGTGGCACACGCGCGCGCGAGCTTGTGTCGCGGCCGCCGCACACGGCAGCGGGACATCGCCTTGCCCCGCCCGTTCGCCCCGAAGCGGGGCCCCTGCATGTGGAGGACGCGCGGATGTGCTGCGGATGTCTACGCCGCTGTGTACGACCATCGCTCGGCTCGGGCGCAAGCGGGCGTGCTGACCCGCAGAGCTGGCCCCCTTGACCGAGCGGCAGCACGCATCTGCAAAGAGGTGGCAGCCCGAGTGGCATCGCACGTCGCCCACGGCGACCCAGAACTCGTAACCTCCCCCAGAAACCTGAACCACGAACACCTAAACCCAGGCTCCCGGGCTTTTGGGGTGGAAGTTTAACCCTTTAAGGGGTCTGCAATGGTTAATTTAATTCGTGGTATGCCCCCGTTTTGCCAGCATCCGGATCGCGTCGATGAGCATGATGTGATCGGGCAAGTCAAACACACAACGTGTAACCCAGGCAGGTCATTCCATAATGAATCTGCTCCTGGATGGCAGCCCGCAAATTTGTTTTCCACATGCGGTCTTTTTATAGACCCTGCTCGAGTGCCCTGTGCACCTCTGGAGTTAAAAATAGAACGCCAAGGTGTGGGGACTATTCTACAGGGGTATGGGGGGGACATGCGAGGCCTAGTAGTGGACGCATTGGACGCTGTTGTCAGTTGACGCTGTATAGCTGCCTTTCACCTCCTTAGCCGGGCCTAGTGTCCTACCTGTCCTCCGTTTTGCTCGCATGTGGCGAGCAGGAAACCGCATTGATGCCGGCCATGCTCTTCTTGGCTTTGCCGCTTGCGATCCAGACCCTGCAGGCTGAGCTCCTCCAGGGCGAGCTGGTACTTTTCACGGCATTTACATCCCTTGCCCCACCTGCCAGAGTCGCTGATTTGTACGCGCGACTTGAACACCACTTAGCACACCGCCGCCTCAAAGCAAGAGCTGGGTCGGTTACCGTGGCCGCCCATCGGGTGCACAGAGCGCAAGCGCGAAAAAACCTGCAGAGCTCGCCAGTTCCCTGATTGCGAGGAAGCTTGACCAATTGCTTGATTGACCCAGGCACGGTTTGCCCTTTTTGAACACGCCCCGGCGCACAAGTGAGCGGCGCCCCAATACCCACCGGCTGGGTGCTGGCGCGTCGTGGTGGTTTCCAGTGACGCAGTGACTGAATGAGCACGTGACTCCCCTGCACGCGGTAGCGTGCAGGAAGCCATGCCTGCGGCACTATTCGCTCGCAGCATTTCACGGCGTTCCGCTTGCGTCATTGCCCCCTCCACCGGGACTGGGGTTTCACGCTGGCGATCACCCCAGCCCAGGAAACATCGTTCCAAGACCGGTAAATGGCCCGATCACGCAGGAACACTTGCTTGCAGACGCAAAAAACAACAACTAGGCACGCTCGCCACCGGAAAAGCCGGCGCAAGGGCAAGACACCGTGCGATCCTCGCGGAAATTCTCGCGCCAGGGGCTCTTGCCCCGACAGCTTCCCATCAGAGTGCTAAGCCGAACAAGCAACGTCGCCTCTGCATTGGGCGGCGCCCGGCCTCGCGCCAATGTTCGCGAGCACGCTTCTCCGCAGATCCCTTTACAAATTCTAGGTCCACGACGGGCGGCACCTTGATTTCCCAAATGCTCACTCAATCACCACCTTGTCCCGGATAAGGGGCAGCGGCAAAGAAAGCTCCATCTACTTTTTTCCCCACGGACTTTTCGGGCGATCCACGCGCGGTCCCAGTGCACCTGCGAGCTCGGCATTGCAACGTGCCTGCAGCGGCTCAGCGGGCCAACAGGCAGCTGGGCACAGGCGGGCACGCGTCGTGCAGGACGTCCTGCAGATGCGGTGCCTGCGCGCCAGGCATGGCGGCACGGACTGGCGAGTAGCAAAGTGGCAGCACGCGTGTTTTGCACAGCCACACTCAGCAGGCCCCACCACCGCCTGTGCCAGCCCTGGGTGGCAGCTCCTCTGGAGTGGAGCAGGAGCGCGCAAGGCTCGCGAACGGATGCGCGACGAGGCGGAGCGACTCGTCGTTCCAGCTCCATCTATCCCCCACAGGAGCAAGTCACATGACAACATGCCCTCGGGCTGAACGGGTGAAGGCCAGAGCTTTGACCTGCACGCTCCTCGGACGTCGCGGGGATCTTAAAAAAATACCTCTATTTAAACATATTTAAACCCAAATGTACAGAATTCACAGCTCCTCTCATAACTATACTCAGGAACTTCCACCCTGCGCACGGTCGCGCCGGGATGCCTCGGTTTAGTCCCAAATGTTTTTCGTGCACGTGCTGTACCGCAGTTCGGGTGGGGGCTCATGTCGGAACGATGCGACAACCCAATCTTTCGTGGCAAAGAAAAGTACAACACATGCTGTCCGTCATGGTTACCTTCGTGCAGCTACCATGTTTTTTTGTTTCCGCACCTACGTACTCGCCGAGAATCCTCTCTTCGCCTTCGCAGCCTGCTTCTACGAGTGGGTCTACGCTCGTGGTCCGCGCCCCCGCCTGCCAGGCTGAGCTCCCCTGCAGCGAATTCCTGCCGCTCGAGTGGGACCGCCGGTTCACCAACTGGAAGCTCCCGCAGTATGCACGCGTGGGCGCAGAGAGCCGCGAGCACTGCGAGGATGTACCATCGCTTGGCGGGCAACTGTAGAGCACCACGGCAGGCGGTGGCGCGCACGGGTTCATGCGAGTCTGCTTGCGGTCGACGGCCTGGCGCCTCAAAGGGCTGGCGATGGTGGTGTCAGATGGGATTTGAACACAGATCGGGGGGGCGACGACCTAATCACCCGCTTCGGCCGCCCTACTCAAACGGGTGCTCGTCCTGGCTGGCCCAATCTATCCTCGGCCCGCGGACTTCATGGCGTGCCGTGCCGAGCACGCTGCGATGAGGCCAGTCCCCAGTTGCTAGTCTGCACGGTGGTTACAGGCTCTGACTTCCACAACAGTGTTGTATTCGCAAGCCCTCAACTGCAATATGCGGACTGGATATCGGTGACTTCGCAGCGCTTGTCCAGGCAATGCGAGCCCGCTCAGTACTCGCAAGCTGACATTCAGATCACTCTGGTGTCTGTCGGTGTGGCTGTTCCGTATTAGGTCGCTTGTCACGCGCTTGCCGCTACCGCTAGCACGGCTTACTCCTACTACCGCGACTTCTACTTACTACGGCGACGAGCTCGAACTGCGACAACAACGAGTTCGATTGCGACCTACTGCGACGACTGCTGCAACAACGGTCAGTTCATTAAACCCTTAAACCCGAAAACAAAACACCCAAAAAACCGAACACTCCAAGCCACATTACTCTAAATGCTAATCCTAACTTAAACATCCCCAAACCCTCAAATCTAAACCCTGCAGCCCACCATATGGGCTCCGCGCAAACAAACCTAAACCTGTCCAAGCCTCAAGCGTACACTCGAAAAATTGAAAAGACCTGACGCGGAAACCCTAAACCATAAAAACCGTCAAGCTGTTACCACGAAACTGCTTGACCTGCATGTGCCTCAACCCCAGTGCTTGGCTGCTCGGGGACCCAGAAAGAAAGGCACAACGATGTCGCTCGCGACAGGATATCTGTTCGGTCGGGGGCCGCATGGATTCTCGAATGACGCATGTTTCAAACCACGCTTTTATTGGTGAGCGAGCGCTGATTGCCTGGACAGTACAAAACATGCGAACGAACACACGTGGCTGCCGATCTATCGAACTGGGCAGGCGAACAACTTCGATGGGGTTCGTGGCGCTTCGCCTTCGCATCTGCCAAACATCTCATGCAAAACCGGCTGTCTCTGTGTCGGACGAGGCTGCAAATATCTCTAAGTCACACTGTGAATTCCACTCAGATGCACCGAAGCACACCCCACACCTAGTCCCCGCTACTGGGACATGTGCAGGGAGTGAAGACATACCTACTGCATGGTACTTCGAACCTCGCTCTTGCTGCATCGGAGCTTTCTTTTCCACCGACCGTGAGTAATGCAACATCTCACAGATCCTCGACCTTTGTATGATACTCATTGCAGTACCACGGGGCTGATCCGGTGTCTGCGGCTTCTATAATTACCCAGACTCTTACCCAATTTTCTGAACCAACTTAAATTCATGCAGAGTCCATCCGTCCGGAAGCCCTTTCGACCCTCCTGCCCGAGCAAGTGTTTGCTTCACTCAAGAATACTCTGGTGGCCCCCTCTCACTGGTGCTCAAAGGAACCTTGGATGCAGCTTGCGACAGGGAGCATCCTTCAAAGTAGCTCGGTCTGCACTCCACTCTATGTCAGTTACTAGCCAGCACCTCGCACCATTGCCTAAATCCGACTTTGGGTTGCAATACGCTTGCTCCAAGCAGCTTCTTCTTCAGCCTCTCGATGTCATCACGCTTGACCTTTGCATCCACCTTCGCCTGCATCTTGAAGGGGTTATAGTACAACAGCACCAAGTACCTTCCAGCCGGCCCAAAGCTGCAGCATCCCACAGTCCCTTTCTGATGCAACGGAGTTGAAGCACGCTGCACGCTCGGGCCCAGGCCGACCTGCGACATTGAAACCGCTGAGGTGGTCCATGGCATTCTTGGCCTTAGAGGTGAGCACAAATGGCGGAAACATGCCGAAGTCTATCCAGCAGCATGAGAATCCAATGCAAGGTATGGTGCAACACGCTGTAATGATCACACACCATTGCTGTCGATTCAGAGCAGCGCATCATAGATGTCGTCGTAAACCACGAAGCAGGTTCCCCGTGTTTCCGGACCTGGCCGTGCGTGACCATCGACACAACTTGGCCCCCGAAGGCAGAGCTTAACTTTAGCTGGGTCACCGTTGCCACGCCGGACCTGTCGGATTGAGCCGTACTTGCCAAAGATGTCATATAGCTCATCGGCACCTTGTCATGGTAATCGAGATCAGATCGGTGCAAACATCAGCGGCCACTGGCATCTCTGAGAGACAAACTGATCTTGTAGGGCAAATTGCGCACGTACAGAATTCCTCGGAGGGAATGTACGGAACGAGCGAGCAGGACACATGCAATGGCCCGGAGTTTCTGGATTTAACTCCAAGCATCGGTTCACTTCAGGGGCCAATCTGACATTTCGCCTTCACATGCCACAGGGCCACAGAAACTCCTAGAGAAACTTGTCAGGCCTTCCATACACTGGAGCTTCGCCCCCACCGCCGCCAGGCCCACCGGGACCCGGAGGACCGCCCGGGGTCATGTTGATGCCCGGGCTCGGGCCTGGAAGCCCAGTCGTGATTCGGGGCATGATAACTTGCTGCTGCTTCCAGGCCTATGCCACCGGGCGGAAGTCCAAAATCCATGGCCGCTGCGTCCAAGTCGGGATGCGTCGACCAGTAACACAGACCAGCACGATGGCAACAACACAGTTTCGAATGACACACATTACATGCTCACACCACATTTTCCTCGAGCCAACATGCAGAAAAGTTCATTGTCCGGAAAGCAGTAAAAAAATATGCACGTCTGAACCGCAAGCCGGTATGGCCTTGCCTTCTTGTCAGAATGGTTTCACACCAATCCTTTACTTTCGACTTGATCATGCTGTAGTTATGCGATTTTGGCTTCGTGACAAAACATGCTTGAACGTTTTTCTCATCAGGAAGGGACGCTGGTTGTGTGACAGTTGTGCACATGATTCTTGGGGTTGGGACAATGACATGAACCAATGACAACGAGGCCTGCAAGCAGCGTGGCAGCTATGAAACTTGCGTTCCGGCACATGAGCCCAACATTACATATGTCCAATGTAATAAAAACTGAGACCGTAGACCGAGACCTTGAAGAATCCATGTGCAAGCCTGAAAACACTGTTTCAAGGCTCGAATCGAGTTGAATGCTATGCTGCATGCGGAATACCCAGAACCAGGCCAACCAAGTTCGCGAGAGGTTTGTTTGCTCAGTGTTTCAACGTCGCTTGTGAATCCTGTTGAAAGACTCAAACACAGAAAACGAACAGTTTCCGGTGTTCGTTCATGGTGGTTAACTGTCCCAAGCCACTAGGCACCTGCGCAAGCTGCGATTTCTGAGGCCGCTCTAGGTTGTGTATCACTTTTCCGGGCCACGGAGAATCGATGCACCCAAGCTCTGGTGGGCAATCCTCCGGTGAGCCAATATCCTGAATGCATCGAACTGAAGTTGGGAAAAAGGAGGATTCCACAAAACTTTCGGTCACAAAAGCAGCTCCAATCAAGTCTTGCAACACAGCGAAGCAAAAGCAGGTCGATGCAAACTTCAGCCTTAGAAGATCAGCGAGCACTGTTGTTGTAAGTTCATCTACGCATGCAAAGTCGAATACAACATGCTCGAACAGCTGTGCACAAGACGGCACCGGAAAAAGCCGTGTTTGCGCAAGCATCGGCAGGCGGGGGCTGGGTGAGTGCCGGGCATGTGGGACCACGGGACAACCTGCCACCGCACCGATTTACGTGGAGTGGGCGGGTGCGAAAACTTGGATGGTCGAGCGAAACTACACAGGCTATACTTGGCAAAGCGTGCTCACGGTATACGTAATTCACATCCCACTACACTCCCAAGCGCAATGGAACTGTGGGGACCTTGCTGCAGCTCTTGAGCAATCAAGCTGCGGTACCGCCCCTTTGCTTAGTTCCAGAGCAGCATACGAGGAAGAACCCTCGCGATGATCATGCCAGGCGGCTTGGCCCCGATGGCTACGGAGTCATTTTGTTGTCAGTTGTTTTGACGACCGTTCTGGTGAAGTGCCGGAGGCGGCGGCACAAATCAACTTCAACTTCAAAATTATTTTTCTTCAACAATCTTCAAAACATGGTGGGGCAGCCTGGCGACGGTGTTCGTCGCCCTCCATTTTCCACGTGCCAGCAGTGTGCCGGTGAAGGTCCTGTCTTTGCTCTGAGCTGGGCTCAAAACGAAGAAAATACCCAAAACCCACACGAAAACGCTTTCGGCTCACAAAATGAAGAACAAGGTCTTTGAAAAGAAAATACAAACAACATCCAGCCTCCTTGAGACCGCCCAAGATCATCTTTCCAAATTCCAAATGTCCAAGATTTCACCCTCAATCTTCACAACGTTTGCCGCGAACAAACATTTTAGAACTTGTCAGAGATGGAGTGTTGACTTGATGACCCACGTTGTTCGCTCAGTGGGCATGATCACCATGGCGACATGCGAATTCATTAATTTGCAAGCACTTTCGACCTTGCAGCCAACACAGAGTGGAGCTGCTTCGTGTGGCTGTCTGCTTTTGTGCGGACAAAGTCTTGCATGGGCCATTGTCAAACCTTTAGGGTTCCGGGCTCAAATCCAAACCTTGCCTCTTCCTTTCGCCTCTCTCTCCAGGGTTTGGGTTTGAGTTCAACCCGAACCGTGAACCGTCCTGAGGGTTTGGGTTTGGGTTCAACCCGAACTCCAACCGGCGAAGGTTTGGGTTGGGGTTGAACTCAACCCTGGAACCAGGGTTCCAAGTTCCAACCCGAGTTCAACCCGAGGTTCAACCCGAGTTTGTGCAGGTTCAACCCAGGTTTGAACCTGGGTTTAAACCTAGCTGGTTAAACCCACCCTGAACCTTGACCCCAGTGTTGTTGTTGTTGTTGTTGTTCTTCCCTCCCCCCCAGGTTCAACCCAACCTGCTGCGGACCAGCCTCAGTAAGCAGGCACTCGGAATGCTGTACCGTCCAAGATGTTGCTTTCAATGAGTTGTGCTGTGCAAGGCTGGCTTGACTGGCTCTTGAACGGAAGTACTCTGCCACCTGAGAAGTATCGCTTAATTGAAAAGGATGCCTCCCAATGTGTTTGTGCTGTGCAAGGCCGGCTTGCATTCTGCCACCTGGGAAGTAGCGTCCAGTTGCAGAGGCCCGTAACAAGGGGGAACCCACTTCCTGCTTTCCAACCTTCCCGCCTTCTTACCTACTTACCAAATTCAGAGTGCTTCCATTCAAGAGCCAGTCAAGCTCTGGAGAGGTCACATCCAGCTTTTTTGGCGTAATGTTTAATCTGTGGAATTCGCTTTGTGTGTTTCCTGAACTGTCCATGCGATATTGGACAATACCAGTCGCTTCCTTGTCAGATGAACCTCACTTGTTTCGAAATTAATTCAAAGATTTATGCAAAGCGCGAGTGATGTGATGAAAGCAACCAGACGCAATGCAGAAACATTTTGCCTACAGTGGATTGAATCTAGATTGAACGCATGCATTGCAAGTGTGCGCGAAATGTCGCCAAGTGAGTCAAAATTGTGGCTTTGCTGGCCACAAAGTGTTGCTGCAAAAAGATGAAAGTTTTTTCAGGACCCCAGAACGTGCCGGAACGCTGCCAAGCTCGCTGCGGGCCTTGAAACTTTTGCAGCGTGCACTGGGCAGCTTCATTCGGGATCTGGTGCTCGCACTGCCGAAGATATTCGAGCGCTTTGCAGTTTCGGCATCAAGCTTCTGGACGAGTGCAGGCCGTTGCAGGGGGGCCGGAACGTCCCGTTCTGATCTTCACTGTGCTGCTTATGAAAAGGGCAAAGCATCATACGGGATAGTGCTGATCGATTGCTTCACATCAACGCGTTTGGTGGTGGCGGAAACATCCCGGATGACTTGGAGAATTTCTGGAAGCTTGACAGTCCAGAGCAAGTGATTGCTCAGGCAGAAGCTTACGCTGTGGTTCTCGCGCGAGCTGTCTTGCGAAGCTTTATCCATGGACGGCGAGTTCTTTACTTCGTGGATAATGAAGGGACGAGAGAAGTTCTTGTAAAAGGAGCGAGCCAATCCCGCACGTTGCTTCTTCTGGGGAGCCTCTTCTTCGAGATGGAAAATCTTGATCAAAGTCTTACTTGGCTGGAATGTGTGCCATCGGCGAGCAACGTGGCAGATGCTCCGAGCACCAGATACACAAACACATCACTGATTATACTACTACACAACTCTCGTCACAAACGCTGATCCCGACTGGAACCACTGCGCAGGGCATCCCATGCCCAGAGTGTGGTCTTTATTTCACCTCATCAAAATCACTTCGACAACACCGCGCGCTTCGTCGCAAAATTTACGTTGCTGCGAGCAAGG